ATTAAAGAGAGGGCAGAGAATTTTTCAAATGTCAATGTCGTTATACGTTGAACCGAACCTTACAAGAATTTCGTTATTTGATAATAATAATAATAATAATAATAATAATAATAATAATAATAATAATAATAATAACAACAATATTAATCGTTTCAACAAATTAATAATAATAATAATWATTATTATTATTATTATTATTTATATGTGACCATTGCCAAGTTTAAATTATTCAAATATAGCATTTGGAATGGAAGAGGGTGAGTGAGATCATAAATAATTATGTGTAATTATAATTAATTAATTAGTTAGTTAATTAACCTTGGTTTAGGATAATTAATTTGTTGGGTAAGGCTAGTTCAAGTTGACTCATCAACCAATTTAAACATTAAATATATAGTATAAAATCTCTAAAGTATACCTAGTTTTTCACCATCCCAAATCATAAACTCGAATAAAATGCCTATTGCCAACATTAGTATAATTCAATGGTAAATGATATCTAACTTCTTTCCTTGAGGTCAAACGTTCAAATTTCTATACCCTGCATTAATTGTACGGAGGGAAAAAAACACATATTACCCTCCTTAACGTGTTGAAGATTCAGTCCCTCACCTCCGATACCTACTTGTTGAACTAAAAAAAAATAATCATTAATATTTTTTTAGAAAATTACAATTTGAACAATGGAATTGTTCGTGCACAAATTTGGCCTACATAAGCAACGAGACTTATCCCTTCCAAGATACGGGTGTCCTGCAAAGCAGAGATGAGCACTCCAATTCTTAAGTCAGTAATGGAGTTCGATTGCAAGTAGTATGTGTCAGAAAGGATTCGAACATACCGGAGTGTTGAAGTCTTCTGTGCTTTTAAAGATTGTAGCATGCGGTCGAATTTGGTAGGAGGACTCAAGATTCTTGTCTTTTGTCACAAAACGACTAGTCTGGTGATGGCGCTGACTGCACTCATTCGCAATCCCGCCGTTATGGTGTGCGAATAACGAGATGCACTGGTCTAGCTCATCCTCCAGACACTCGACAAGTGGCAAGCGATTTTCTTCCCCGTAACAAGAATGAGGATGAAACTAAGAGATTTACTCCTTAAAACTTATCATATCAACCCATAATACAACCCACTCATACAAAAATAATATTTTCATAGAAATATTATGTCACTGGTCTCTCTTATTTAACTTAAAAAATGTTAGGATAAAGAACCTCCTTAGATAATTTCTGTAGTAGTATAATATTATTCACTTTGAACTTGAATCAACGTGAGATTATATTTACATCCTCAAATATTTTGTAACATCAAATTCAAAGATAAGCTACTACAAATCAAGATTGAAAAATGACGTATACTTCAAAGATGACTAGATAATATATTTAACCTATAATTAATTTTTTATCCATAAGAAGGGACTTTATATGTGCAAAGAAAGACCAAGTGAATAGGAAGATTGGGGTTGGTTTAGAATTATGAAAAGTACAAGGGAGAGAAACCTAAAAAAAAGTCAAAAAGAAGAAAATATTGCAATTTTCTTTAATGTTTGGGTTTCCAAGAAACTTCCTTCAGGATATTGGATATTACCTTCTTTTCTGCGATGCTGAGAAAATTCTGACAGGGAAAATGCATATCCATTTATAGCCCTTCAATTCAACCATTTCATTTTCACTTTCATTTAAATCGAAACTTTAAATCATATTTTAAATCTTTTAATTTTACAAAAAAACAAAATACGATTTTAGTTTTGTTGTTAGTTTGTTGAGATCATGATATCAAATTTTAGTTGACATGTTGGCATTTTCGTCAATAATTTTATATGTCAAATGAGTTTGACATCAACATGAGGTATGACTCGATATTTCTATAATATCATAAGAAATACCAACAAAATAACCATTCATAACCACATAATATTGACATTAATAATTTATAGCTTATTAAAAAAGAGGTTAAATGTTTATTTTTACAAATTTTTCATAAATATCCATTAAAATTTTATCGATATTTCCATAAAATTGATATATTGATATTTAAAATCAGTAGCTGGTTTTTTTTTCCCGAGTACAACAAGTAGGATTCGGAGATTCAAATTCATGGCTTTTGGTCAGAGACAAGTGATAATTAGTGCTGAATTAAACTCATGTTGGCATAAAATTATTGTTTTTTAAAATTTACGGTCGAAATTGTTATTTTTTAATTGTTACTTTTTAAAATTTTAAGGATTAAAAAAATAGATATTTCCATAAGAACAAAATGATAAATCTAAAGTCAAATTCATAAACTAAAATAGAATGTAATTGACTCGTTTTCTTATAGTTTAATTTAGTGTTTTCAATCTTAAATGCTCAAATTTTTCTAGCAATATTTCCTTTATTAGTATACTTTTCCTAATTTTTAAGCGACTGATTTTTGTATTTTTCTTTTTAGAATTAGGTATAATTTTCCCATACTTTAATCTTCACATATTGTAGATTACTAAGTATATATGATGATAATTGAACAAATTAATCGTTTCTGGTCAATTTCTGCTCAAACTTTAACCGTGATTACTGAATTTATTTATTAAGAAAAGAATTAATGAATTTATAATTTATTAAAATTTAATATACAAAGTAATAATTTTTAGGATTAAATGATTAAATTTATAATTTAATCTAATTATTAATATATGTAATAAAAGAATTTGACCAGTTGTATGGTATTAAATTTATTATACATATATAATATAAAGTTAGAAGAAGACATCAAACCCCTCTCTCCACTTGTTAAATTCCAAATGATTTTGTAGCAATTAAATAATTAATGTAAGTCTTGTTATTGTTTTAATATATGATATCCATCACCTAATAAAATAAAGCTATATATACATATATACACATATATATAATATAATATAAAGTTAGAATAAGACATCAACCCCTCTCTCCACCTGTTAAATTCCAACTGATTTTGTAACAATTAAATAATTAATGTACAAGTCTTGTTATGGTTTTAATATATGGTATCCATCGCCAAATAAAATCAAGCTATATATATATATATAATGCGAGAACACAGCTTAGTAGTTGAAGCATCATGTTCCTTTCTTATAGGTCGGAGGTTCAATCCCCATATTTTATATACAAAAAATAATTAGGATTTCAAGGAAAAAATTGACCCTTTTACTTTGATTTTCGGCATAGTATTAAAATTACCATCGAAAACTAAAGTTTAAACTAGGGATTAGTACATTGATAGACTCTACAACTTTAGGATGATACCCATCACCTGATTTACTAATATATCCTACTTGAGGTATCATTTTAAACTTAATTAATAAATATTTTAACGGCCATTTTTTTTAGTACAACATGTGGGGGTGAAGGATCGAACTCATAACTTCTTGATTGGAGGTATATATGTCAATTACCGTTGAGCTATATTCGTTTTGGTTCTTAACGACCAATTAAATTAGCACGTAGTTCTTGCCAAATTATAAAAGGACAAAAACATATTTTTCTTCAACAACATGTGAACATAGAATAGTAAAATTTATACTACTTTTGAATTTTGGGTCTTTTGGTAAACATTTTCTAAAAAATATGCATAAACATATACAAATTCCACAACATAGTCAATTTGAGCACCACTCAACTTATTAAAAGACACATATTTTTTTACGTCATGGATTCAAATCTTCACCCTGCATATACTAAAAATAGAAAAAACTCCGTAATATCATGAAATGATTTGGATTCAATATCTTGATTATATTATAATTATGTTCATATTAAATCACCCTAAAATCCCAAATAATAATAAAAATGTTGGTGAGTAAAATCAATTTAATCTTCAAAAAAATACTCTACTCGAGGGTAGAGCAGCGGAGAAGAATTTCTAGTTCTTTTCTGCTTTGCCCTGTAAATTT